ATTTTCATATATCTCCTTATTCAGCCAAGGGCAGCTTAGCCCATAGTGTTTCAGCCTGGGCTGCTTTTTGATCCAGACACAATACAGGGCAGCCAGTCATAACAGACCTCGTTTATGTACATTAGTCTTAAAGGGACAGTAATACAAACAGTCTTTAAAAAAGAACTTAGACAAAGTCAGAGGTGAACCTCAACAAGGGCCATGTAAATGCAAAAATTTAAAAAGATTTAAAAGATTAAAATATTAAAAAAGCTTTTCATGCTTGCGTAACACATTTATAAAAATGGCTCTTTTTTGGCACCTCCTTTTTAAGAACGTATGTCTTTGGGTTTATATAGTAGGTATAACACTGGCAGCTTTGCCCCACATTGCTCCAGTAACTACATTAAGGCTGATGATGGAGATATTTCTCAGTGGCAGCTTTGATTTTTGAACCCAGCGCACATACAGAGAGCCCTCTATACGACTTCAATGTAACAGAATTTGCCTTCAAAAATTATGCTCATAACGGCCATCTTGGACTGTGCTAATTATAAATCTCGGCACGGTCTCGTCGTATCGGGTTGCTCTCTGAGCCAGCCGTGCTCTAAAAGTGTTCTTTCACCAGAAAAGTCACAATTTTAAATTTGCAAGTGACATAATGAGAGAAAAGCTTTTCAGACCACTGAATCGTCCACTTTGGTGAGGCAAATCCATGAAGCAGTTTCTATGCTGGCATATGCAGCCTTTTACTGTTACTAAGTCAGACAATCAAGGCAAATATGAAGTGAAATTCCTCTTTAAGTATGGTCTTTTTTTGGAAGTGTCTTGGATACATGCTGCTTTATCTGTTCATCAGAAGATCTTTATCACCTGAACAGAGAAAGGCTGCAGTATGATTTCATTGCCACTGGACAAAACACACAAACACGCCTCTTACAGCAAGTTTACTGGGCTACCAGGCTCCTGACTCCTTGACAACTTGAAACTATTACAGACCCCTTTTTGCCTTGTCTGCATGAATATCTTATACAGTCAATCACTGTTTTGCCTCTGGTAATGTTCTCATGATGCTATAATATACAAGGCCCCCATACACACGAAGTACTATATATATATATGTACATATATATATATATATATGTACACTCATTTCTTATGAGCTCTGTTTGGCAATGATGATATTAACAAGTCAACATGGCTGCTTTCTTTTTTCCTAAGAAACAAAATATGCCTGCTTGTCTACTTTTTTGCAAAGAAGTAAAACAAATCTTTGTTAATTATTCAAGGTCTATGAAGAAATAGTGAAAATAATACAGATGATATAATCACCCAAACAGAATGAACATGCATTACTGTGCAAAAATTTTCAGGAGAGACCTCTGAGGAGATCAGGTATAAAACAATGCACCTTGAAGGAAAAAGTCAAAGGAAAACAAGTTTCCAAAATTGGAGTTATGATTGGAGTTAATGATTAAAAACTACAGAGAAAACAGGCCTCCTAACAACCATGCAAGACCTGGTAGACCAAGAAAACCATCCCCATCAAATAAACAGCACTTAAAGCTTTCATCAAGCTGCTTCAGATCTTACAAAATCCACAACCATCCTTCCACTGTGAGAAGACAACTCAGCGCTATGAGTCTGAAAGGATGTGTAGCTGTCAATAAGCTCTTACTGAGAAAAGGAAGAAAATTTGCAAATCAAATAAAGAAGCTACTGGTGTTCTCAGAACAATGGACTGACCACCCCAGAGCCCAGACCGCAACATCACTGAATGTGAAGCCGAAAATGCAAAACCAACTTCTAAGACTGAACTTTGGAGGTGTGGAAAAACATCCCTGCAGATTTCTTTGAAAAACTGAAAGGAAAAAGTAAGCGAAGAGTGGACACACTGAACACTGAAAATTAGTTAATGTGATTATAAATAGTTGTCGAGTCTTTGGTGTAATTTTCTGCTAAATACATGTTTTCTGTTTTTGTTGCAGATGCTGAAAAATGAATGGCTTGTACTGAATGCCCGTTTTGATTGGAAATGAAATAAATGACTTTTGTACAGTACTGTATTTATAGAGCAAAGTGTAATGCATGCTGTAAAGACTAAATGTACTTTCTAAAGAGTATTTCTGCACTAAAGTAGATATCAGATGACCTACAACCCACTGGAGACACAATGCTATCAGTCTCACTGTTATCTCAGTAAACACTTTCCTGATAATGTCTAATTTGTATTTACACACTGAGAGAAAATTGCTGCTTTCCCTTTTCCCATGTCTCCTTTAGAAGAGATGGATATTTGCAGCCTGGGTTAGACACAAAACATGAAGAAAGGGAGCAGCTTTTACTCCAGACGTGATACGTATCCGGCAACAAAATGCCCTGACAAGAACTCTCTGGCCTTGACTGCTGCCATCCGCCCCGACACTTCTGCCTTTCTCCGCACAACAATACATCTGCACAGATGTGTGCAGGAGCCATCCAGAGCGGCCCCAGAGCCCCGGCATTGATACCCCCATCATGTGAAGCATCACTTCAGATTATTGGCCCCTAAAGCCGAAAACAAACGTCCTCCTCGAGCGCTGGATCAGCTCGACAAAAAAAGGGGGCCAGTCACTTCACGCCGCCGTGAATGAACGAGGAAGGCAGGCCAATATCCTTCTGCTATTCAGAGCCTGCGCTGAGTGCCCTGCAATCACACCCTCGCATCCTGAACACGATCACACGCATCCTTCACTCAGCACCCCGCATATTACAGCAGTGTCAAAGAGCCTGAGGGGAACATGCATAAACGACAATACAAATCACCTTTATCTTCTTTATCAGATTATAAGCAAGCTATGTGAGCAATTACTATTAGGATACAGTCTCTTTTATGGGATACTGATACTATAATGGAAAGCTATTTTTATGCATACAAATGTTGCACTTATTTGCATTTTTTTAGGTAACAATCAAGGTGCACAAATAGGATACTGATATTCAAGAAGGCATATACATATTCCTTTACATATTTTGCATGTATTTTACAGGTAACAATTGAAGCTGCATAAACAATTCAGATACAGTCTTCATTATGAGACACTTGTATTGCTAAAGGCCTTTCCAGATAAACAGGGTCATATTTACATTTCATTTTTGGAAGCCTTTTATTGCTTCAGTTTACAAACATGCAAGCTGCATGAGTAATGGTATTAGGGTATATTCTTCTTTACAGGATACTGATACTGTTAAGACCCTCAAACATAGACAGGGTCATTGCATTTATTTGCCTTTTTGTAAGCCATTTATGATCTGAACACTGATAATAAGTGAAATATATACCATTATTATTAGGATATAACTTCCTTAATGGGATTCTGATATTTATAAACCGCCTTAAATAAAGTCACTGACATATTTTGCATTTTTGTAAGCCAATTACTAATAAATTTATAAAATTACAAGAAAAGTAAGCATTGCTACTAGGAACCATTGCTATTAGGACATAATCTCCATTATGGGATGTTGATATTTATAAGCAGGGTGATGTTTTGCATTTATTTGCAGTTTTCTAAACCACACTAATCTAAAAGTAAACCAACTCAAACACAGTTATTTGATGTACACATCCAAGTCTAATCTTTTTATTATTATTATTATTATTATTATTATTATTATTATTATATAATCAGTGCCAAGGTGCACTAACGTCTATCAGACTGCTGCATTTCTACAAACTATTTATTACTTCAGTTCAGATAAAGAGTGAGCTGTATGAACGAATACTGTTAGAGTACAATGTCCTTCATGAGATATTGATGTTTATAGAGGCCCATTTAGATCACATTTTGCATTTATTTGCATTGTTTCAAGTCATTTATTACTTTCAGGCTTTATAAAGATCACTGTTAGGGTGCAGTCTCTGTTACGGAGCGTTAATGTTTATAGAAGCTCTCATACATTTTTTTTACATTATTATAAGCCATTTATTACTTTAATTAAGTCAACGAGCAACATATATGAACCATAACTATTACGATATTAACACCTTCGTGGAGATATTGATGTACGACAATAAAAATATGTTCACTTGAAGAGGTTAGTAACTGGCCTAGGTCTTATATTCTGTTAACTTCTAAAAATCCCAGGTTTATTACACACTAAGGTTTATTATTTAGCAACTACAGGGACCTCAATGCAAACTGCTTGAGCTATTCTTAGGTTATATAAGTGTGTAATAAAATGTTGGGCCTGCCGGTGGGCTCTGGCCATTTAAAGGGTTAGGTATTACTTGAAGTACTTTTTGAAGCAGACAGGTTTCTTACTTTATTAAGTTAAAATAAGTCTTTTTTTTACAGTGACAAGGGCCTTTGTACATAAATAGGGGCATATTCTGCATTTATGTACACGTTTGCAAGCTATTATACCTTAATTCTGTATATATGTGAGGTGATTAGTCTACTCCAAACAGCATTCCTCCACATATAAGCATATAAGCAAGAGGAGAAGGCTCAGCTTTGGCCCCACACCTCATTTACTGCATTTTGGAGCAAAAACAACAATGCAGAACATCAGCTTTAGTCCTAGCAGTGTCAACGAGCAAGGCCACAATCTGCAGCAACCAGATAAACAGTAAAAATCCGGCTGTTTATGCAGCGACAGCCGCAAGAATCCTGCAAGTGCTTTCTGCAGTGCCTTCAGAGAAGCCTCAAAAACACACCTACTTTCATATATGAAATAACAAACACCAATTTTACACATACAACACAGACACTGCACTCCAGTTTCAGCAAATCTGCACCTCAGATTCACTAAAGCAACATCTGAAGCACATCTACACCACTCTGACACACCTCCCAGCAGCCTTTTTAACTCACACACTGCAGGATAGAATGAGGAGTAAAGATGAAAACAAAAGCCAGTGGAGGAGATGGAGAGATGCTCCATCAGCGTCTCACTGAGCTGCAGTGTCTTTATGAGAGACAGTAAAGCTGTTAGTTTCCCAGTTCTGCGTTTTAGATGAAGTGAAAAACTTACCCTACCTGAAATAATCCATCTTACAGAAGATTTCCTTATTTTTGATGTAGCAGCTGCTGTGCTGACGCAGAGAGGTTCTGCACACAGAACACTCCAGACACCTCACGTGCCAGATTAGATTATTCACCTGAGGGGGAAAAAACAACAAATAAGAAAAAAGCTTAATAATAATAATAATAATAATAATAATAATACTTTTATTATTATTATTATTATTATTATTATTATTATTGTTGTTGTTGTTGTTGTTGTTATTATTATATACTTGGCTAATTGTATATATTCCGATTTCCAAAACCCATTTGTAATTTTTACTATTGAAAGTAGTTTTTTCACAGCTTTATTTTTATCTCCTTCTTTTTTTATTCGCGTTTATTGAGCTGTATTTCAGTAAAATTATGTTCCTCGTTTTTTCGTTCGAGCTTCGAGTGACTGCAGTTATTTTTCATACGTTTAATTCGTTTCAGCTTTGTCTCTCGTTTTATTTCGAACATAAAATATTTTACAGTTTAGCCATTTACTTATTTATTTAATTTATTTATTTACTTACTTACTGTAGCAGCAGAGATGCTCAGTCCAAAACGAATCTTCTCTCTAATAATATTTTTATAATTTATTATTTTATCATTTATTTGACTTTATTGAGCTGCTCGTATTTAAAGGAGCGCAGCTGTTAAATATGTTAAACATCTCTTTAACCGTCATCAGCGCGTCAGTGAATAACATGCATATATAATAAATTGTGTAAATGTGGAGTTCATGTTTGTGTTTGTAGTTATAGATAATAATAATAATAGTACTGATAATAATAATAATAATAATAATAAATAATAATAATAATAACTGTCCTGTACAAATCAGCACGTCAAAAAATAATATATGATAAATAACACATAAAATAATGATAATAATACATAATAAATAATGATATACAACGAAATATAATAATGATATAATACTATATAATAATTGTGTGTAATTGTCCTGTAAATCAGCACGCACCCGTTAAACGAATGTATAAATGTGTAAATAAAGTGCGGAAAGTCTGAGAGCTGTTTGCGCACGCTCCACAGATCAGCGCGAGCCGTTATTTACCTTCAGCAGGTATCTGTCCAGAATCTCGAGGCCGCAGCTCGCGCACACGTTCCTGCTGGAGGAGGAGGCGCTGGAGGGAGGAGAGGAGGGGGAGGAGGATGGGGAGGGGGAGCGGGGGGGCTCCCTCTGAGAATCACTGTCACAACGGGACTGCAGGGCGGCACAAAACAAAATACACACATATCATATTTTATATGTACATAACGTACACATACTCTGACAGTGTATTATAATACAATATTAAGCAGCCATCACGCTCACACACACACAAATCTCTCTCTCTCTCTCTCTCTCCTCTCTCTATATATATATATATATATATATATATATTTATTTACACACATATATATATATATATATATATATATATATAGAGAGAGAGAGAGAGAGAGAGAGAGAGAGAGAGAGAGAGAGAGAGAAAGATAGATATACATATAGAGATATAGATATGGGCATTGAAAAAATTGTTAAAAAATAAACATAAGAATAACATAAGAAATAATAACAAAAATAGCAAATATAAAAGGAAACGTGTGCGCGTGTGTTAGAAGCTCGCGCTCTGTGTTGAGATGAAATCTAATAAAAAAAGAGTCTCGCGCTTGTTTGGCATTCATGCAGTTTAATGCACTTTTTTTTTTACACTTTAAAAGAAAATCTTAAGTGGAGACGATAATAATAATAATAATAATAATAATAATAATAATAAAGGGGGGATAGTGAAGCCTAAATCGACACAAAATATAAAAAAAACATAAAAACTGATTTTTACAACGTAATGAAGGACGGACTGAGTTAAAGGCAGCATCCATCAGCAGAGGAGCTGAAGATCAGCAGCTCTGTCTGCTCTTCTGTGTTTTAGGTTAAAATAAAAGGCTAAAGCTCCAGAGTGAGAGAGGGGCGATCACCAGCAACGCAGGGTGAGATTAAAGCCCTCCTCAGAAATACAAATTAGTGAGTGTGTAAAAGAGTCACTTTCGGATCGATCGCAGTTCAGTGAACAGATGTACTTCTGCAGATTTAGAACATTTCAGTGATCATCAGACCGGCCACTACAGCAGGAGATGGAGCCCCCAGTAAGGGCCTGTTACATTTCATTCCACTGAAAACGACAACAAAATACAAAGGATAGCGCCAAATAAAGCGCCACTACAGACTGGAGCGAAAAGGCGCAAAAAGACAGTAAACGTGATCGCCTTGAATGAGACAGTAAAGACATCTTGCAAACCACGATTACCTTTTTAACTGCACCTCAGATTTACTAGATCAGCAGCTGATGCACGTCTGAAACGCTCAAAGCCACTACTTTAGGAACAGATGACAGACAACAAATGTTCTGAACGTTTTGCAGCTGTTCTAATTTACACATCTGTACATTAACATAACTTTCTCTCTTTTAAACTCACTCAATATTAGCGGGATAAGTGCGAGCTGCGGTACAGAGCAGAGTGTTACTGTAGCAGATTGCGGCTCAAAAACGCAAAATTTGCTTGCACGGGTAAAAAATAGTGAGAGTAAAGCCCCTCGCGCGTGCTGGAGGTCTGGGGGGCTAGAATCAGCTCCGCACGATGCAGATACAGATCTGAACTACTCTAAAACATTTACCAACAACGATTTAAACACTTACAGCCAGCTTCAAACTGCGCTTATTCGCCCGCTGCACGATTAAAAATATAAAAATATTTTTTAAAAATTATATTAAAAAATTATTTGGTAAAGGCATTGGTTCTACTTAGAACCATGAAGTCTATTAGAACTATTTCCCTGCTTAAATGGTTCTTTGCGCGGTGAAATCGTTCTTCAGATTGAAGGAGAATGTGTTGTGTATGGTTCTATAGCACCATGGCACCAAAAAGGGTTCTGCTATTGTATACAAGCTTGACATCGTAACAGCAGCAGAACCCTTTTTGGTGCTATATAGAACCATTTCACCGAGCAAAAAAGCATGATAGAACTCATGGTTCTAAATAGAACCATTGCAGTTATTGAAGAACCATCTTTTTAAAAGTAAGTAAAGATAATTTGAACTTTGTTGTTTTGAAATGTGGAGGATCTTTAAACTTGAAAAAGTTATTCAGTTTGGAGGCTTAATTTTAAAAACCCGTTTAAAACACGAACAAGCTGAAGTGCAAAATAAAGCGCTGTTTTGAATAGACTGTGCAAAAAGTGCGCTAAATCAGCGCTACGAGTCTGTCGCTGAAAGTCCAGCTGAAGAAGTAAAAGAGCTGCACGAAAGAAGAAGAAAATATCAAGTATTAATGAGCACAAAACTGTAAAAAATAAAGCGCTGCGTTCATTTAAGAAGGACGAAAAGTCCCGAACACGCACGTGCACACTGCATTCGCGAGACTGCGTTAACAAAAGGAAGGAAAAGAAAAGAAACAGCAGAAGGAGAGAAAGAAGGAGAGCTAACGTTCCCTCCGCATGCAGGAACGCGCTCCATCGGCTCTTACCATGTCCAGTCCGCGCCGCGTCCTCCGCTCCGAGCCGGAGAGTGCGTGTGCGCGCGCCTCCTGCGTGTGCGTGTGTGGGTGCGTGTGCGGGGGTGCGTGCGCGCGCGCGCGCGTGCGTGTGTGCGGGCGCAGATCACCTAGAAAAAAAGCCACAGGATGGGAGCTGGTGAGTCCATGGCAGGGGCTTTATAGCGGCTCAAAACAATAAAAGCCCCCCAAAACTCGTTTAAACCGCACGCTGGAGAGCTGATCATCATCAAGCCACATCAATCTAGCTCTGATTTTTTTTTCCTCCCTCTTCTTCTTCTTCGTCGTCGTCGTCTTCTTCTTCTTCTCCCTCTTTTTTCCCCTCATCTCACCCCACCACCCCAGCACCCCCCTCCCCTCCAACACACACTTACACACTTAACCCCCAATGCCTCTTTGGATAATCGCATTTCCACGCAATCCAAAGTGAGCTGAAAAGATGCAGAGAGTCGGGGGAGGTGGTGGAGGTAAATAAAAAGAATAAACTACCTGCAATTACAAATAGCTCGCAAATGCTCCTATAAGAGGAGCTCGGAGTGTCAATTTCAGCTGTCAGTCAGAGAAAAGAGCCAGAGACCCCCCCCCCCCCCCCCCTTTTCTCGTTCCCTTTAAAAGAATTGCAAATTTGATTTTTTAATGGCAGTAATTAAAATCTAATTCTCTCTCTCTCCCTCTCTCTGCCTCTATGCGCGCGAGAGCGTTCATAAGCGCGAGACCAAGTCCGATCACATCACTGCAGGCTGAGAAATACCAGCAGACACTCAGATAAACACTTCAACAAGGCTTTAAAGCGTTAACTCGAGAGGTTTAGGCTTTATGCAGGTTGGCACAGGTGGCAACTGAGATTGAGACGCACTGGCACTGAGGGTGAAGAGGTTTACACTGATTTAACTGTAGGTTTTTTAGCAGCTACTTTAGAAACAAATGGCTGAGGCATGGATGGAGAGCAGCAGCGCAGTTCAGCAGCAGTTTGTATTGCGTTAATGGATAAGTTCATGTAAAGCGTAAATGGCAGCAAAGCAGCGATGCAGTTTATTATCAGGGTTCTAGCCGTTTGTACTGAATAATATAAGTGTCAAATGCAGTTTAACAATAGCTGCCTAGCAGTTGGTATCAATTAATCGAATGTTATTTGGCTAAATAGCTTTAGATCAGCATAGATTGAAGTATATGAGTATTTAGCAGCATTGCAGTTCAATAGTAGCGCCCAGGCAGTTTGTACTGAGGTCAGTGAAAGTTAAGTGCAATTTAGCATTTGTTCTGTATTAGTTTGTAATGAAGTACATAAATGCTACACGGCTAAATGGCTGTAAAGCAGCAGTGCAGATTAATACTAATTCTCTGGCAGTATCTATTTAATTCTATTGAATTGGGTGTTAAATGCAGTTTAGTATTAGTTCCTGCAGATTGTGGTGAAGTAAATCACCGTAGAGTAGCACTGCTGTTTAATGTTCGTTTTCTAGCAGTTTATATTGATGTTAATGAGTTAAATACAGTTTAATATTAGTTCTTTATCAGTTTTATCAATGTGATTG